CGCACGACCTCATATAAACCCTCAGCCACGCGGGAGAATAGCAGGTGATGCTTCCCGTCCCCTCCCACTGCAACACTTCTGCCCTGTTCACTGACCCATCCCAGGAGCTGGTGGGGTGGGCCTCAGACCTCAGCACTTGGCCCATGCATGCCATCCCACGTGGCCCTGAAACGGCTGTCTGCTTGCATAGATGGAGTGCAGAGAAGTAGCTGTGTGAGCAAACACCAAGAGGACTGTTTAGCCCAAGGTACCGTCTCCCCTGAGGTCATGGGCTTAGAAACCTCAATGATGTGGAAAACAACTAGCAAATAACTTTAGAAGGTTACAGAAGCCACTGTCTTAGTCTGTTGTGTGTTGCTATAAAGGAATACCTAAGGCTGGGTAATATATAAAGAAAAAAGGTTTATTTGGCTCACGATTCTGATGGCTGAAAAGTTCAAGATTTGGGCATCTGCATCCGGTGAGGGCTACGGGCTGCTTCCACGCGTGGCGGAAGGCAAAGATCGCATGGCAAGAGAGGAAGCACGAGAGAGCGGGAGGTGCTAGACTCTTAAACAGCCAGCTCTCGTAGGGACTAGTGGAGTGAGAGAACTCACCCCTGAAAGAAGGCACTAATCTATTCCTGAGGGACCTGCCCCATGACCCAAACACCTCCATCACCGGGGATCAAATCAAATTTCAACATGAGTTTTGGAGGGGACAAACATCCAAACCGTAGCAGCCACCAACATTGATGTCACAAAATCCATGCCTTAAGCTCATGACACGTCCTTAAGCTCTCGCTCAAAATGTGTTTACACGTGCTAGTAAGTAACAGTTTGCGGTGTCTCGATTTCTCTTTTAATAGCAACTTTTCTTTCTTTCTAACAACTTTATTGAGCTATACTTCCCATACCATGCAATTCAGCCGTTTAAAGTGTATAATTCAATGGCTTTTAGTATATTCAGCATTGTGCAGCCATCACCACAATCAATTTTAGAATATTTCCGTCAACCCAAAAAGAAACCCTGTACCAGTCAGCAGCCACTCCCCATTGTCCCCCATTCCCTGGCAACCACTAGTCTACTTTGTGTCTCTTGGATTTGCTTATTCTAGCATTCCATTAAAATGCAGTTATATAATATGTGGCCTCTTGCAACTGGCTTCTTTCACTTAGCATAATACATAATACAGGGTTCATCCGTGTGGGAGCGTGTATCAGTACTTAGTTTTTTTTTATGGCCGAATCTTACCCCATTGTGTGGGTGTGCCACGTTTTGTTTAAGCATTTGTCAGCTGGTGGGTGTCTGGGTTGTGTCTACTTTGGAGGTGTTATGAATAATGCTGCTGTGAACATTGGTGTGAATGTTTTTGTGTGGATATGTGTTTTCATTGTTCTTTGCTATATGCCTAGGAGTGGCATTGCTGGGTCCCTTCTGAGGGACTGCCAGACGCTTTTGCACACCGGCTGCACCGTTTTCCAATTCCACCAGCAGTGGGAGTGATTTCTCCCCATCCTCGCCAACACTTGTTATTACCTGTCTTTTAACAAAATTATTATTATAGCCATCGTAGTGGGTGTAAAGTGGTGTCTCCTTGTGGTTTTAATTTGCATTTCCTTGAGGGCTAATGATGTGGAACGTCTTTCCATGTGCTTAGTGGCCATTTGTGTATCTTCTTTGAAGAAATGTCTATTCAAATCTTTTGCCCATTTTTATATAGGTCATTTGTCTTTTTCAATATTAAGTTTTTAGAGTTTTTATTTATTTATTTATTTATTTTATTTTTTAAAGGCAGGGTCTCACTCCGTCACCCAGGCTGGAGTGCAGTGTTTCGATCATAGCTCACTGCAACCTCCAACTCTTGGGCTCAAGCAACCCTCCTGCCTCAGCCTGCCGAGTAGCTGGGACTACAGGAACTCACCACCACACTCAGCTAATTTTTATTTTTTGTAGAGACAGGGTCTTGATATGTTGTCCAGGCTGGTCTCAAACTCCTGGGCTGAAGCCATCCTCCTGCCTTGGCCTCCCAAAGTACTAGGATTACAGGCATGAGCCATGAGCCCAGCCCATCTCCACACTGTTTACATTTAGAAAAGAATTCTGTGGGAGAATCTGTGTTTTCATTATAGCTAGCTGCAGGGTGCCAAGGCTGGCCTCTGATTTTCAGTTGCCATGGCACCCCTGCCCACACCTGACCCCACAGAGACCCCATGGCCAAAGCCTGCCCTGGCCACTCATATCTGGAGGGTGATTGGCTGCCCACAGAGAAGAGGCCATGGGGCTGTGGCCATCATGACTGCCCACCACATGTGGCCTGCTCAAGAGCAGGCAGAAGCTGGCAGGCAGGCCGGCGGGCCTGGTGTGGCTCCCAGCCATGAACACAACCCACACTGTGGCCCTGCCGGGAAGTGGGAGGGGACAGGCGAGCCTGGGCAGAGACCCAGAGGCCACAGGGACACAGGAGCCTCTATGGTGTTTTGTCCACAGCTTGGGAGGGGAGGTGGCAGGTCTGCATGCAGAGGACAGGCCTCTGTCCACCAAGCTGCAACCTGATCCCCTCTCTGCTCCCTCATCGGATCTATAAATAGATCCGCAGGGAGCCAGGGCCCAGAGAGGGTTAGTTACACCCTCACCTTCAGGCCACAGGGGCAGGCAACAGGGGGTTCCGCTGGACCTCTGGGACCTCCAGAACTTGTACCACCTGTCCTGCCCCAGCCCCCACGGCCTTTAGACTAGCAGCAGCCTTGTGCTGGGCAGGGGGAGGGCAGAAGAGTTTGATGTGGCCACTTTCCAGGAAGAGCTTAGAGGACACACACACAGACACCCCCCTCAGGAAAGATGGCTCTGAGCTAAACATACCAACCCCTTTCATCTTCACAACAATGCTTAGAGACGTGTAATTAATGTCCTCATCTTAAAGGTGAGGGAACCAGACATTCTGGAGAGAGGTCGAATCTGGTGTCAGCTGGGTGGGGGTCCTGGTGGGCGCTTGCATGTCTGTGCAGGTGTGGCCCTCCATCTGTGGACGCAGGAAGCATGGTCCCCGCAAAAAGGACCCTCAGTGGCTCAGCTCAGCCAGGCCCCGCTATGCTGTGAGAGAGGCAGGGCCATGTGTCAAAACCACTTTAAAGGTGTGGGAGGGGTTAAGGAGTTTCCTGCACTGTGGCGGAGGCAGGACAGGAAGGCGTGTCCCCTGACTCTCAGGATGGACAGACAGTCAGGACACCCCTTCCACACCGACCTCTCTCCCCACTGGTGCGGGCCCAGCCCCGCTGCTCTCCAGACGGCTCGCTGCCCCCTGTCTGGGCAGTAGGACTCTGAGTGAAGTCAGACGACAGAGCCAGACAGACCGACAGCCAGCTCTTCCTTCCCTCACCTATCTGTGCCACCAGAGCAAGTTCCTCAACCTCTCGGAGACTCAGTTTCCTCCTCTTTAAATCGAGGCTAGTAACATTGTCTAACGCATGGGGTCCTTGTGAGGACTAGAGGACCATCACTCCAGGAAAGGCCTGAGAACAGTGCGCAGTGCATTGTAGGCATCCCATAAATGGGAGCTTCTGTTGCCTTGTAAAAGGCCCATGCCACAGTTTTTAAAACCTTTTAGGATTGCATTATGTGTCATCTGAGAGCAGAGATGTGATCTCTGTTGACAAAGGTGGGAGCTGGGGTCCAGAGAGGCACAGGGGCTTGTCTGAGGACACACAGCTGGTTCATGGCCGAGCCAGGCCACAGTCTCCTGGCCCCCCTGCTCCATACTGGCATTAGACCCTGTACCCAGCCCTTACCTGCTGTGAAGAGGGTCCGGGGGAGAGCTGTGGAAAAGTGGGAGGTGGCAGGCATCCATGTGGGCGTTTCAAGCCCGTTCCAGGCAGGGCTTCTTAACCCCTGTGGTCCCATAGGCTGGTGAAGCCTGTGGACTTCTGCCCAGAATAATGCTCTCGTGTGCATAAAATAAAATAACCTAGTGTTAGAAAGAAAACATATTAAATGCAACAGTTAAAAAATGTTTTTAAAAGATGTACAGTAGCAATATGCATGTTTTTTTATTAGCACATTAAATAACAAGATCTACTAGCAGGTCTAATATCTACCATAATTTCAAATTAGTGATGAGTTTAAATAGTGTTAGGAAAACTTGTTTACAATTAAATTTGTGATACGACATTGGTCAGTACTGACGAAAAACTCTTTTGCTTACCTTCATACTTAAAGGAAATGGTAAATTTCATTTAGAAGTTGGTGACAATTAAAATATAATTTTTCCCATCCAAGTTTACTGTAGACTCCTGGCCCAAGTCTAGGGTTTCCTGCACGTCCACTCACATCTCGGGCCCAGCGAAGGAGATCCTAGGCATCCACCCTGCCTCAGGGGCCCGTTTACTGCCATGTCTCCCGGTCCTAGCCTTGGAGAAAAGGGCTTCAGGGTTCATTCCTATTATACATTCATTCAGCAAACACTGAGCACCACCTTTGTGCCAGGCCCCACAACAAATAGTGAGGTCCAAAGTCAGGTAAGACGAGGTCCCTGCCTCCAGCTGTTCCTCACGTCCTTCAGGGAGAGCATGAGCAGAACTGTTCCAAAATGCAAAATGCAGCCAAGTGCAGGAACACGCTCCCTCTTCCCGTGATGGTGAAGTGGAGGTTAAATGGTCTCTCCCAGCTAGTGACACCGTCCATCACATAATCCTTCCGAAAAGAAGTGTGGCACTGTATAGCCTTGGTCGTGGAAATCCCAGAGCCTTCTTTGCCACGCCCACTCTGCCAGTTTGTCCCGAGGAAATAATTCAGCAGGACGACAAAGGGGGGAGGGCAGAAGTCCTTCTCTCTCCTCTTCCTGAGTCTGTGCCCTCCTCAGGGCAGGCGCTGGGTCTTGCTCGGCTCATCCGCTGGTGCTGGCCCGTAGCACTCAGTGAACACCTGCTGCGTGAATGTCTGACTGTCGTGCAGTTACGATGGACAAAAGGAGGAAGGTGGCAGGAAGGGAGCCCTCCAGTGACCAGGTTCCTGTCTTCTTGCAGCCACCAAAATGTCAGGAGAGATGGACAAGCCGCTGATCGGCCGTCGCCTGGTGGACAGCAATGGCAGCCTTGCCGAAGCCCCCAGTGAGGCCCCGAAAGTGGGCATTCTGGGCAGTGGGGACTTTGCCCGCTCCCTGGCCACACGCCTGGTGAGCTCTGGCTTCAACGTGGTGGTGGGGAGCCGCAACCCCAAACGCACCGCTGGGCTGTTCCCCTCGGTGGCCCAAGTGACTTTCCAGGTGGATGCAGTGAGCGCGCCAGAGGTCATCTTCGTGGCCATGTTCCGGGAGCACTACTCTTCGCTGTGCAGTCTCAGCGACCAGCTCGCGGGCAAGATCCTGGTGGATGTGAGCAACCCCACGGAGCAAGAGCACCTTCGACATCGCGAGTCCAATGCTGAGTACCTGGCCTCCCTCTTCCCCACCTGCACAGTGGTTAAGGCCTTCAATGTCATCTCTGCCTGGACCCTGCAGGCTGGCCCGAGGGACGGGAACAGGCAGGTAGGTTCTAGCAGAATAACATCCATCATAACAATGCATATAAATGGCTAATTTTTCCTGTGGGCTTTCAGTATGCCAGGCCCTTTTTCATACATCATTGCCGCCAATGTCACATCACCGCAAAATTGCATTTTGCAGAGCAGGAAACTGAGGCTCAGGGATGTCAATGATTTTACTTACTCAGAATCCCACAGATGGTGAGTTGGGATATGAACCCACTTCATATGAATCTGAAACCCAGGTCCTTTCTGCTATGGTTTTGAAAGCAGCTATTCCGCGGGCCGGTGGGGGCTGCCTAGACGGGCATTTTGCCTGTGGCTGCTGATGTCAGTGAGCTGGGCAAGACTCTCACTGTTAGCAGTTTGTGTCCATGGAGTAGTGGGTCTGGCCGGGCCAGAGGCTGGGGGCCCAGGTGGCAGAGGAAAGACCCCTGGCCCACGAGGCAGAACCCCTCTGCTCCCAGCTGCACCATTAACTGGCAGCTCACTTGGACAAGTCCCTGTCCCTCTGAGCCTCAGTTTCCTCAGCTGCTCAGTGAGGAGTTTGGCCTAGATGCTCACTGAGGCCCTGCCCACTCCAGAGGCCTAGGACCCCGTCTGACTACCCGCTTCCTGCCCACAGGTGCCCATCTGTGGCGACCAGCCAGACGCCAAGCGTGCTGTCTCTGAGATGGTACACGCCATGGGCTTCATGCCCATGGACATGGGATCCCTGGCATCGGCCCGGGAAGTGGAGGCCATTCCCCTGCGCCTCCTCCCCGGCTGGAAGGTGCCCAGCCTCCTGGCCCTGGGGCTCTTCGTCTGCTTCTATGCCTACAACTTCATCCGGGACGTGCTGCAGCCCTACGTGCAGGAGAGCAAGAACAAGTTCTACAAGCTGCCAGTGTCCGTGGTCAACACCACGCTGCCATGTGTGGCCTACGTGCTGCTGTCGCTGGTGTACTTGCCCGGTGTGCTGGCAGCCGCCCTGCAGTTGCGGCGGGGCACCAAGTACCGCCGCTTCCCCGACTGGCTGGACCACTGGCTGCAGCACCGCAAGCAGATCGGGCTGCTCAGCTTCTTCTGCGCCGCCCTGCACGCGCTCTACAGCTTCTGCCTGCCGCTGCGCCGCTCCAACCGCTACGACCTGGTCAACCTGGCCATCAAGCAGGTACCTGCCCGGCACCCGCCCGCGCTCCCTGCCGCAGGCAGCACGTGCCTGCCCAGCTCCTTCGGTGAGCCAGGTGCAGCTGGAACCCCTGGGTTCAGCCGCACCAGTTGCCAACTGCGGATTCTGTTCCGATCGGGCAGCTCCCACATCCTGCTGTCCAAGATTTTGAGTATCAGTGAAGAAAGCAGATGAAAATCCCTACCCTCGTGGGTACGGCCCAGGTGGGGCAGACTTAAAATAAAGCAGTGAGTTGCAGCGGGCCGTTAGGAAGTCGTGAGCGCTAAGGCACAAAGGAAAGCAGGGGAGTGTGGTGGGGGTGTGGTTTTAGAGACGGTCAGGGGAGGCATCGCCGAGTGGATGCTATGTGAGCAGAGGTGGGAAGAAGGGGAGAGTGGGCCAGGTAGGCAGCAGCGGATGATGGAGGCCCAGGGGTCAGTGAGAGCTGAGTCCTAGGGGGCAGCATGTTGGGCCTCCTGGCTTGTTGGAGGAGCAGCCAGGAGGCCCCCGTGGCTAGAGCTCACAAGCGGGTGGCAGAAGAGGCCTGAAAAGTCAAAGCCAGACCAGGGGGTCTTGAAGGCCAAGGAAGGGCTTTGACCTGGGGTTCTGCATGAAACAGGGAGCCAAGGAGTGATGATTTTGAGTTGAGGAGTGATGACCCACCTGATATTTTACCTGCCTCACTCTGGCTGCTGGGCTGAGAACAGACAATGGGGCCCAGAGGCAGCTGGGCTCCTGGGAGCCCAAGGAGGCCGTGCACGCCAGATGCCAGGCAGCGAGGCTGGGAGGGGGCCGGAGCAGCAGAGGGGCAGGGCGGCCCTGGAGGACACAGAAGTGCTGATGTGGTGGGTCTGGGGTGTGGGGTGATCAAGGATGACTCTGGGGTTTTGGTCTGAGCACCTGGAAGCATAGAGTTGCCATTGGCTGAGACAGGGAAGGCTGCAGGAATGAGGGTTTTGGGGTTTAGGGATTTTTATTTGGGGGTTGGTATTATTCATTCATCTAGAAAATCCACATGGTGCTCCTTTGCCAGCAGGATTCCTGGGAAGTGGAGGGCCTTCAGGCCAGGCTGGGTGGGGACATGAGTGGCATCAGCTGGCACCTATACCCATAGAAACAGGCTCCTGATGCTCCATCCTGGTCCACAAGCTCACCTGGCTTGATTGCAGGTGAGCAGACCTGCTAGTTCCAAGCTCAGGTCTGCAAGCAACACTGCCTTTCTCTATTTTCTCCAACTTACTTCCACCTCCAGGCCCAGCCTCTGGGCTGGTTGGTGCATGGGTCCTGACCACTCCAGGACACTTGTTGCCCAATGGGGTTTGGCCCAGGTGCCAGTGAGACACTTCTCATCCATCCCTCGTTCCAGCCTAGAAGGCCCCTGCAGCTCTTGTTCCTGCTCAGGACGCAGGGGCCTAGTGGTCCCCTCGGTGGGCACACCTGCCACAGGGACACCGCCTCAAGGATAGGGGACCAGGAGGCCTGGGAAGTGAGGCTGGGTGGCTCCTGGGAACAGATGTCAGCCCCTCCCTACTGACTCTCAGGGCTCCTCCTTCCCTGCTGGCAGCTTCCAAGCTGCCCTCGTCCTTCCCTACCCACAGACACCTGGCATCATTGTATCTGTGGGCTCAGACTCTCATAAGAGAAAGGAAGAATCCAGACTTCAGGCAGAGAAGCAAGATGCCTGATGGAATTGAGAGGAAGGGAAAAAAATAATAGTCACGAACCTTTAAAAAGACCTTGCTGTATCCCAGCTACCATTCTAAGAGCTTTACATACCTACTGTGGACTCATGTAACCTCTATCTCATCCCTGTAAGGCAAGTGCTGGTCTACCCTTATTTTACAGATGAGAAAACTAGGCACAGGAAGGTTAAGTAATTTGACCAAAGTCACACAGCCTGTAAGTAGCAGAGCTGGGATTCAGATCCAGCTGGTACCTACACTGCTTTCTACAGGAAAAACAAATGCAAATTAACAGTGGAATAAATGATTTCAGAACTCAGATCATTCATTCACTCATTCACTGAGCACCTACTCTGCCAGGCCCTGGGGCCACAGGGCCCACCCTGTCCCTTGCCTCAGCTGGTGTGGGAGCGCATAGAGGCCTGAAGGCCAGAGCTCTGGTCTCTTGTTCTCCAGCATCACCGCTTAGAACAAAGACCTTGACTTTGAGAAAATTACAGCCCCTCTTTTGTCCTCAGGGCCCTGATGTGTAGATCAGGTTCTGTCCTAGTGCTAATATATATATATATTTAGCATGAAATGAAGTTTATTGAGGAAGGGCAAGATAGATTTACAGAGCAAGAGCAATGTATGTTCATCACAGATGACAAACGGGCCCCCCTGTCGTCACAAAAGAGCCTAGTGCTAATATTTTAATGCTATCTGGTATTTTCTTACTCACTTCTAAAAAGAGTCAACCCCCTCAGCAGGAGATTCTGAGAGGCTCTTTGGGGACGGGCACAACGTTTGCTGCCCAGGAGGTGGCAGATCTGAGTGTATGGGAGCCCCTGTCCTCAGAGCTGGCAGGTGTTTCAGGCAGGGGCGGGGAAGAAGGTAACGCCCCTCCCCCCGGAGCACAAGGCATAACCACTGCTCCCTCCCTCCCCTGCCACCCTCCAACCTCCTTTCTCCAGATTCTCTGCCCTGCCAAGGCTCTCCTTGATGTTATGTTGACCCATTGTTGCCTTGGTGCAAATACCAGGGCACCGAGGGGCTCATGAGAAGAACTTCTCCCCCACATTCCAAAGTCCCGTAGGGCTGTGGCCTTGGCGAGGCTGCCAGGCAACCATTCCTCCCGCAGGACCCGATCGCTCTCAGAGACACCCAAGGCCTCGCAGGCAAAGGGGCTTAAACTTGTCCCGCTGAGTTCTCAAGGGCAGAGCCAGGGCTGATGTGGGTGTGCCTGGGGGGATGGTCTGAGGGAGGCAGGGGCTTCACAGAGTGGCCACAGAGTGGGGAGTTGCCGAGCCTGGAGATGTTGGGGCAGCCATGCCCTCGGGTCCTGAGCCTGGCTCTGAGGCTGTTCTGCATTGAGTTGCTGGCGCAGGGCCTCCTGGGGCAGTCCCTGCCTGCTGTGTGACTTTCCCTGCCTGCCCACGGGCACCTCGGCACAGCGTCCCCACATGGCCACTGCCCGCTCCAGCTGCCCACGGGGCCCTGTGGGAAAGGGACAGTGCTGGCCTGGGCACAGGAAACGCCTTCTTCAAGATCTCCTTAAAGCCCCTGAGTCCACAGATTTGGAAGCAAAGCTGGATCCCAGCTGTAGAGAAAACCGTTGAGATCGTGTTTATTGACAGTGTTATTACCAACGATAGCTGGTATTTGCATAGCGCTGTCTGACTTGCTTGTGCATTTCCCCAGAGATGCATTTCAAGATCAAAATCAAAGATCAAGATCAAAGACAATGTTTAACCTGCACACTGTTTTCCTATTTCCCTCACCTCAAACTAAATCGGGACGTAGCTGTCAAAGAACAATCTATAACTCTCACCTGGCCATGCCACTGCTGAAAAGTGTTCGGTGACTCCCCATTGTCCTTGGGATAATGGTAGACCCCTCAGGAAGCGGCCACACTCCCTTTCCAGCCTCATCTCCCCTACTTCTCCTGGGACGTGTCACACTCGGGTCCCATGTTGTCCTCTAAATGGGCAGAGCTCATTCCCCTTGGCCCAGAATACCCATCCTGGGACATCCTGACAGCCTGACACACTCCTATTCCTCCTCCAAAACCCTACCTCTGTTAAGCTCTGCCAGCCTATCCCCCCACTTACTCATACCCACCTCTGTCATCTGTTCTATTTTGTACACACTCCTATTATTTTTCTTACGCACCACTTTGTACCCCACTCAAAGTTCCATGACTGGGTCTTCCATACCTTGAGGTCCAGGATTCCTAACATGGATTCTCAGTGCAAGTTCACTGAGTGACTGGTTGTTAAATTGGCCACAACGCCAGTCATCTCTTAAGAGGAGTACACGTAGAGCGTGGTGCAAGAACTAATCTAACTGCCCAGCTGCCACTAAGAGCAACAGCACCAGTCATTTATTTTATTAAGCAACTACTGTGTGCCAGTCACATGCTACTCATTTCACCAACATCGTCTTTTTAGTCCTGCAGTAACATAGCAAGAGAGAGACAGCCATGCTATTGGCAGGGAAAGGGACTGCCCCCCAGTGGCAGAATCGACGTTAGAATCCAAGGCCTGTGGGACTCCGTCCACCGCCCATCCAGACGGCCCCTTCCACACCCAGCTGCCTCCTCCTCCTCTGGGTCTGGCAGGCAATGGGTGGGCACCACTCTCTTCCCGCCCCCTGCCTGCCATGGGGACAGGGAGAAGGGCCGCTGCGGTAGCCTCACTGGTCCTTCAACATCTAACCCGCAGCCTAAAGGGAAATCCTGCGTCCGAACGCCATCTTTCCATCTCTTGTTGGCGACCACTCCCTTGGCATTGTCTAGGTGGCCAATTTGATTAGCTCTCGACATGGGAGAATCACTAGGGGAATGGAGAGCTGTTACATCTCCCTTCCAGTGAGCTGTGCGCGGCACTGGCACCGTGGCGTTCTGAGGGCAGTGCTGTGGCGGGTTGGGGGAGACTGTCACGGGCTGTTCGAGGTGGCCGGGATCCAAGTCCTCATGCAGGTCCTCACAATCCATGGCCCCCTCACCTACCTCATTCCTCCCTTCCCAGCATCACTGAGAAGTGGAAATATTAGAGGAAAAAAACAAGACATTTCGCAAGCAAATGTGGTATACGTGTGTAATCATCCAGCTCTGACTTGTGGCATTAACTGCCTGATCTTACCAGAACAAAGAGAGGAATGACTAATGAAGTACAGTCGAAGAACAAACAACTTGCAAAGAGGAGATGACTTATTCGGCAGCAGTTGTTGACACTGCGAGGTGTGAGTAAGACTTCTCTGGGCAGAGCGACGGAGGAGACCTCTCTGCCCTCTGCACGCCTTCCTAGCTAACGCCGACCGCAGCCCCAGCCGGCCACGCACAATCGGAGAACTCTAGACAGCACCTCATCCAGCCCTCAGGCAGAGAAACTGAGGCCCAGAGACAGAGTTGCCCAGAGTCACACACGACTGGGGAGTCCCCGGACTCCTGGTCCTTTTGTGGCTAAAGGCACCAAACTGAGCCAGCCTGTCCTAAAATAGAACAAATATTTTTTTAAAAACTGCAGGAAAAGTACCCAATGGATGGTATTTTCTCAGTTTCTTTCAACTTTCTCTTGTAAGCTTTTCAACCATTTTTGCACAGACTACTGGATTCGTTTTTAATATTTTATCTGCTAACTAGGCTTATGTTATTTGTTTTCCTGCTGGAATAGTTTCTCAAAAAACCTGTATGAGTCACTGTTTTGAGAGGCAGAGACCTGCCTACTAAAGCGTAGTCACATTTTCTAGTGGAAATGCTATTCCATGTTCTGCTGGTAGAATTAAAGGACCAGCACTTCATGGTATTTCTCAGAGAACACCTTGACTTCCGGGAACTCTGCTACCTGGTCTAGTTGAGAAATGATGGTTCTAATGGGAGGCCCCTGATAAAAGTTCTTCCTCATGCAGGCGCTGTGCAAGTGAATGTCGGCCCGGCCGGGAGGGCCTCAGCTACAGTGCACGCCAGGTAGGGAGAGAAGGCGTGGAAATCTCTGGACTCACAGGGGTTCCTTGACTTACGTGTCTCGGGTCTTGATGAGGACCGAGAGCTCTGTGAGGACAGGTATCCTTATTCTCTGTAGCCCAGGACCCAGCACACAGTAGGTGCTTCATAAAGTGCTCACTGAACTGTTTGATGAATGGCTGTCAGTCTCTGTCACCTGGCAAAGTTGAGCCAAAGCTGCATGCTGTGGACAGAGATGGAGGACTGGGTAGGAAGAGAGGAGTGTGGGGGCTTTGAGTCAGGAAATGTTGGTGGTCAGCATGCGTGTGTGTCTTTGTGTGTCCTGAGTGTGAACCAGTGACTGCAGACAGGTTGGGAGACCAGGAAGATGGGGTGCAGGCTGGGAGGAGAAGCAGTCAGCAGAGACACAAGCCCATCTGGCCAACAGGCCCCAGAGCCAGGATAGCTCCTCTCTCCTGTCCTGGGATTCAGGGGCCAGAAAACTGTATGATGTCGTCATGCCTGGGGCTCTGTATTTTGTGTTGACTTTCTGGACTCTTTACTCTTGACTGACGTGACCCTTCTGCTTGGCTGGCTCCCTGGGCAGGTGTGTAAAAGTCCGGGGAAGCCAAGTTTTTGGAGCCAGACTGCATGGGTCCTGAGCCTAGCTATGCATCTGTGTGACTTTGAGAAGGTGACTTGATCTTTGTGCCTCATTTTCCTCATCTGTAAAATGGGATAATAGTGAGTTCTACTTGATGGGGTTGTTGCGAGGATTCAAGGCGTTAATGCGCGAGAAGCGCTCCTCACAGCCAGGCATGTGTTAGGTGGGCTGTGAGCATCAGCTGTTGCTGTCTTCCTTGTGTCCTTAAGCACTCGCTTGCCCTTCCAGGGCACCAGCCTTTGCCACAGTGTTCATGGTTTTCTTTCCATCCATGTCAGGTCTTGGCCAACAAGAGCCACCTGTGGGTGGAGGAGGAAGTCTGGAGGATGGAGATATACCTCTCCGTGGGAGTGCTGGCCCTCGGCACGCTGTCCCTGCTGGCTGTGACCTCGCTGCCGTCCATCGCAAACTCGCTCAACTGGAGGGAGTTCAGCTTCGTTCAGGTAAAGTAGGTCTCCCCTCTGCTAGCGAGCCTCAGCTTGGCCCAAGCCCACCTCCCACCAGCAAGCACCTGCCCCTCCAAGAACTGCCACGGCTTTGATCATCTGTACAGCAAGACTGCTCTGCCACACGCAAGAGCCTGCCTAACCTGGAGGACCCATCCGAGCCTCCTGATAATGGGCTTCCTGGGACAAGCTTATTCTCCAGACATCTGGGGAAGCCAGATATAGGCATGTGAAAAACTTAGAGACCAGAACACTGAACCCTGGGTCAAGCAGTCTCAGCTTCTACAATTCTTAAGCTTCCCAAACAAAAGTCCATGACATGCAGTCACTAGACATTCTGCAGGTCTAGGTAGGAGCCCGTGAGCTAGTGAGTGGGCCTAGCCCACCACCTTGCACCCTTGTCTCAACCCAGCTCTGTTGTTCCTTTTAACCCCGTGATTCTTGCAGAGCTGATGGGAGGTAACCATTAGGGTCACCAGTTTATAGAGAATGAGACACAGCTTTTCCCAAAGGACACCATTCCTATGGAAAATCCAGAGAAAAGGAGGTCTATAGTCAAATCAATTTGAGAAAGATTTGATTCCCCTAAGAGATTCACAATGCATCTCAGCACATCAAAGAATCTAATGATGTCTACAACAAACCAACCTTTGTTAACCAGACTTATTTGAGCATGAGCACCCTCCCCTCCTCTTTTCCAAATAACAGCTATCAACACTCCATGGACGCTCTCAGAAATGCTGCTAGCGGCATACGGTTCTTATGCATTTGTTCATTCATCAAATGTTTATTGAGCACTTACTGCATGCAGGCAATGCACAAGGCCTGGTATGCAATAGGGAACAAGACAGGCAGAGCCACCTTTCAACTATAACGACAACTGAGATGGAGACATTCTTAACATTTCTTTGGCATCTCCCACTGTTCTTCACAGAGAATACGTGGTCAGTGTTGGCGGATTAACTCATGCCTCCCAGCAGTAGGAGCTGACTAATGCTGGATCCTGCCATTGTGCTGTATCAGGGCAGAGAACAGCGATTGTATCCACCCCCACAAGCAACAAAAATCTGTTGAGTACCTTCTCTGTGCAGCGAGGACACGGTACAGGACTGAGGGACAGTGACAGTGTGATGCTCTTACATAATCCAACTGAATTGTCCCTGATTGGGGATGCTTCATGTCCCTTAGAACAAAACAGAGTTGTGGTTGTGTATTTTCTAAAGTGTGTCTGTTTCTGAATCTCCCTGGCTCTGCTCATCTCAGAAGGTCCCCGGAGGAGCGCTCAGGGCTGAGACATGCGAGCATAAGAGCAGGGGAGGAGTTTTATTTATCTGCCCACTAATCCCCATGGGTCTCACACCCAAATCTAGGATTTTCCTGTTCCCACCTGGAGTATCCCGGGCGCATGGTTTATCCGCAATTAAAACAGACTGCAGGCTGCTCCCCTCACCGGAAAGCTGCTCCCGTAAGCAGCCGTAGATTACATGCCCTGGCTCCTGCTGCTGGGGAAAGCCGGTGGATTTGATTTTGTTAGCAAAAGCTGACTGCGGCTCCAAAAGCTGTGTTCTACTTTACATATTAAAGAGTCAAAACACAGATAGGACCGTCCTTTTGCCACTGCGAGAGCAGGGGGGCTTGGAAAGGTGGAAAGGCAGGATTTTACTTTTGGAAATCAAATGCCAGCATTCTGTCCACAAAACCTAGATGCCGATCCAGAGGAGGCACTGTCGGCGCCCCGGCAGCCTGGGTGCCAGCTCTCCCCGCCACTACCCTGCTCCATGATCGTGGGCAGATCACGCCCACGCCGAGCTCAGGTTACATCCCTGGAAGATGGAGTCCATGCCCCACAGGGACTTTGTGAGCCACAGGGAGAGATTATGTGTGAAAGAAAAATAAAAAACATTTTGCTATTGTTCTAGGTATCTGGCCACATTGCTATCATCCCTGATTAAATTACCGGCCACCCATTTTTAAGTTCAGTAGGAGGCAGTGAGATAGAGGCCAAGAAACTCCAACCCTGCATCAGAGTGGTCCGGGTCTGTGTTTGCAGAGTGGTGACACTCATTCATGGGTCAAAGTGGGTCACAACCAGCATTTCTTACATGAAATGGAACAGAGCGGCAACGAAAGCATCGGAGTGATTTGCATGCTGTAAGGATAGATGTCTTTTCAGTTACATTGATTCAGTGGGTATGTATACATGCGTGGTATACCTGGTTCTCCTCTGGGCAGGAGTGTCACACACAACGCTTACTGTGTGCTGCCATCCAGAACACTCTGAGAGAAATACAGATACCCAGGCCTGCTCCCTCCTATGCTCTCAGATGCTCAGGGACAGCTCTGGAAGTCTATTTTTGCAGCTCTCTGGGTGACTCATAGGTGCACATGCTGCAGTGTGTGGCAACCTCCGGTGGAGGGAACACAGGCAGTGGAGCCAGCAGACCGGGTTCAGTCCCAAGACACCCACCTACCAGCCCTGCGCCATCAGACAAGTTTCTTAGCCTCCCAGGGCTTCTGCTTGCTCACCTGCTCCTGTGTCCGCCTCGTGTGGTCACACAGAGGATGTGAGCTGGACACTGTAACATGCAAGATGTGTGTACCCAAAAGTGGCTTGCTGATTTCAGAAGTAAGCTGCAACCTTCTCCCATAAAGTTAGCACAGCCAGAGAGGAGCTGCCAGAACCCCATCTCCCTGCCTTGCCACACACGACCACAGCAGCCACTGGGGCATGGAAACCCGCTATGGGGACGGCTATGGGTCTCGGGCACGTGGGATGACCCCGAGTCTGTAATGGTCTGTTTAGCTAGAAACAACGTGTTGGTTCCACAAAGAGGTGACTTGTGATTGCATTTATCCTTTTGTTCCCAAGCCTATTTTCAAAGTTTTAAATTTTGGTTTGTGTTTCTTGGGTGTTTTTGTTATCGTTTTGGTTTTGTTTGGCTGTGCTGAGTACTCCTGATTTAGCCAATTAAGCATTGTTAGATGTTAGATTGCAAAAGACCCAGATCAGAGCAGCTCACCTGCACAGAAAAATTAGCACCTAAGTTCTGTCCCAGAGTTAGAACTTCCTGTGACCTTGCCCACTCCAGCCACCTGCCTGAAATAATGACAGAGACCAGCCTGACCCCAGCTTTGTGAGCGATTGTCCAAAGCCCCTTCGCGCCACAGTAATTGAGTACCAGCAGGAGATACTGACGATCTGCTGTTTCTTTTTTGCTAACAAGCTTACCTATAATAAAAATGGCCCTAGCTTGAGGGGGTTATTAATTGCCCCATGATAATCCCTCTCCTTCTTTTGGCTTTCTTTGGCTGTTTTGGGATTTTTAAATTGTTCCCAAGGAGAAAGAGTTTCAGGGAAACAAACTTGCCGGAATCAGCCAGGCTTCCCGTTGGGATCAGTAAGCCAAAGGCCCTTTGTTATTGGCTAGCCTTTAGCTGTCAGCCCTGCCAGGAACCATTAGCCCGAGGCTGGGGCTTCCTGCCATCTGCACATGGGATTTGGGATGGCAGCGGGATGAGGATGTATGAACAGAGCTGACTGCTGCTGGTGGACCCGGGAGCGGCATCTCCCAGAATGCCCAGCACTGCCCATAACTGTCCAGATACTGGGGACAGTAGCCCACGTGGCCATACACTGGAGCTACAGGGCATGTCACCTGAGGGAGATGCCAAGGCCTCACTGGGGCCACTAGGCTGGCTTCCTAGGCCTGAGTGGGTTCTTCTTGCTGCACCATCTGGGAAGGCCCCACAATGCAGAGTGTGGACACTGACAGCCCTCAGTAGATCTGTGTCTAAGGAACAGATAGATAGGTCCAGGCCTTCCCCAATCAAATGACCTGGGAAGAGCAACCTGCGTGGACTTCCCAACCTGAAACTAGAAGGATGTGATGACGAGAGTCTCCTAAATGAGCGGTTTAGTCCTGGCTGCCCAAGACCATCATCTGCTGAACTTTAAAAAACAACAGATGCCTGAGCACCAGTCCAAACCAATTTAATGTGAATTTCTAGCGGTGAGACTTGGGCACTAATATTCTACCCAAGCTCCCCAGGTGGTTTCCATGTGTAGCCAGATTTGAAAACCACAGTGTCAGACTGATAAACCCTCAGGGATAAAAGGCACCTTCCAGCCATCTCAGCAACCCCAGTAACTCCACAGCAAGGAAGGGAGAGAGGGCCCACAGTTTGGGCCTGGTGAACATCAGGGTGACCAACGTAGGCTATTCACAACTTACTCCTAATGGTCAGTGCTGGGAACCTCTTTAACTCCAGTCTTCCATAACAAGAGATCAGAACTTAGAAAAAGTTGATGTTGCTCAGAAGTTACAGGGGATTTGGAATACTTGACAGACACATCTGGAAGTGACAAGGATTTGGTTACATGTGACTTACAGTCAAGGAGGCTTCCACTTGGGGGCCAGTCACACGAAAAATGGCGTGAATTAACTGTGGGTGATAGCACAAAGCCAACCATGGCTTCCCAGCTGGAGGCGGTGAGCCGGGAAGTTGTTAAGGATGAGACGAGAAGATCCTTGAAGTGGACACAAAGCCAGGAACCAGGGATGGCTAGGAAGGATAGAGAATGTTTTGTTTGGTTATTTTATTTGGGGACAAAAATGTACCTGGGAACCTATCTATGAAATTAGTGTGCAGCCATTGGAAAATGTTTATTATTAATATCACATTTAGCAGAAGCATTAGAAGCAATTCTTCCAAACCATGTTCCTTCACTCACTGGGTTCACCATCCTGCTCTTTGTCCTGGAGTTGGGTACAAGCAAAGCACTGCCCCCCACCGGGGAGAAGCGAGAAAGCAGGCACCGTGTGCGGTCAGACCCACCGAGAAACCTGTCTAGTGGAGCAGGGAGCAAATGAGGGAGCCGTGTCCCTCGGCTAAGCCCTGGGTTGATGCCGATAAGCTGGGCTAGAAGGAACCCAGGAGGCCCAATTGCAGCTTCTCCGTGGAAAGCTTAAACCCAGTCTATAAAGAGCACCCCGAGGTACCAACGTGCCACCACGTTTAAGTTAAACCCTTGCAATGTCTCCTTGAGAAAATGCATATGCGTTCATTGCTTTACGGGTCACTATTAGTTTCATTCCCTATGCAATAAAAACAGGTCTCTCCTGCCCCCGCATCTCTCCTGGCCCTTGGTGCTTGCAGAATTCAGTCAGAAGCGCCCAGGCCTCTCCTCCCTGTCACTGTGAAGCCCTGACCCACAGTGCCCTCTCCCTCTGTCGCTGCCTGCCTCTGCGCTTTCCCCGCTGACCTCAGCTTTTGGAATCACTCACTTCCCACCAAGGCTGATGAAGCGACTTGCCCAGGCCCAGTGTCAGCTGAACCAGCACCAGCAGTAGAGCCTGGGTTCCCTCCCTTGCAGTCCACGAGGACCCTCACATGCCAGAGGCTGCAGTTACGGAGCAGCGCCTCCCAGCCATTTTCACATCGCAGCTCCTGTAAAAGCCACAGTTGGGGTGGTGGGGACGAGCTGCTCTTGGCCGGAAGCCACCCATGAAAGCCCACATGTGGCTCAAGGGGCGGGAAGCTCTGTTGTGAAATGGCCCAACCATTTCCATTTGGAGTCGAGATGGTCTCGTCTCCCTCTGGTCACTAATCTCCTCCCAAGCAGGAGAGGAGGCTGGCATGGTTTCCTCCTGGGGTGTTCATAACTCAGCGTGGGGCAGGCAGGGGAGGACCGGCGTGCACAGAGAGCATCTGCGTGGTGTTCTGGGGCTTTCTGTACAGAGCAAGGTCACCTGCACCACAGGCCCCTGCACTATGAGTGCCAAATCCACATGCCATCTGTAAATTATTTATTTATGTTTATCTTTAAGCCAATTTAAAATTAATTTTCACTTTTTATCTGGCCTTAACTTAGGCCAAATATTTGTGAAATTATGATTTTGGTATGCTGGCAGACACTTGTCACTCTAATATACATTAAAATATACACAAAACTAGTAAAGTGGGGTTTTTTTTGAATTTATTCATTTATTGATTTCTAGTCAAGTGTTTATAAACTTCTTTGAACCTAATTCCATCAAAAATCATCTGGCAGCCACCAGATGATACCGGGGAAAAAGATCATTATCTAATTGCGTCCACGTGGATCAGGCAGTCCTTATACACCTTCAGCATGGAAGCATCATTCCGCTTTTCTGTTGGGGAAACTGAGGCTTGGAGTTGCGGCAGTTGCCACAGGATCACGCAGGTAGAGTGATAGGGCTGGGGTTGGAACCATGGCCATGAGCACCAAAGCCACTCTCCCTCTCTCCGCCAGGAGAGCAGATGGGCCGTGGGCAGAGTTGCTACTGCTGTTGTCACTCGGCCCTCATTCCAGCCTTCTTTTCCCTCTGCAGTCCACGCTGGGCTTCGTGGCCCTGGTGCTGAGCACGCTGCACACGCTCACCTACGGCTGGACCCGCGCCTTCGAGGAGAAACACTACAAGTTCTTCCTGCCTCCCACCTTCACGCTCACGCTGCTGGTGCCCTGTGTCATCATCCTGGCCAAAGGCCTGTTCCTCCTGCCCTGCTTCAGCCGCAGACTCGCCAAGATCCGGAGGGGCTGGGAGAGGGACAGCGCCGTCAAGTTCATGCTGCCCACGGGCCCCACCCTCACCGAGAAGACGAGCCACGTGTGAGGTCCTGCGGGCTCCAGACACCAGGCACAGGCTGGATGGCGGATAGGTTTTCTTTTCTGGAAGGCGCAGAGCAGTGTAATTGTGTGCAAATGGGTGGTTTGAAGTCCGAATTCCTGGGATGCAGGTGTATGCAGTAATATTCAGAATGACACATACACATGTGTGACATGTATGTACATATATTCCATACATATAACAGGATTTTCAATTATATTTACTTAGCTAAAAAGTTGGGTCCCTGAGATTTCAACATGTATATTTAAAAGCAAGAGCCAGATGTTGGCAGAAGAGCAGATCGTGCTGTGGTGACATTTGCAAGGATATACACACACTTTTTGTACAGAAGAGGCTTGTCCCTTGCTGAATTTGGTCCATTCCTTCCCCGCCCCCATCCCCTTTTGCTACTTCTCTAAGGCTCTTGCAGAGCTGGGGCTCTAAGGTGCAGGGAAGACAACAGCTCTGCCTGGAGCCGCCCCAGGCCCACACATCGGGCTGAAGACTGCCATCAGGGAAGGCCGGGGGGACCAAAGGCAGGGAGGGGGCAGGAGCCCCGAGTCTGGGACCTGAGAGCCCATAGAAGGTCTTTGCCTTTGCGGGGCAGCGGTGAGTGGGTGGGAGTGGGGCTGAAGCTGCTCCACTTCATCCTGCCTGAGCTGGGGAGATTTTTTCTGTGAAAGTCAGATGTCACCGTGGAGCCTGCAAATTGATCCTCCTGTGAGAGTGTGAAGTCACCTCCTCGCCAGAGCCATTAATGAACCCCCTCTTGAGAACAAGTGTAATTTCTTTCCCTGCGTTAAGCTGGTGATGACCGTTCTTTCAGCCACTGTGCCTTCTCACCTCTTCCATCATTAGTTCCAGCGTCTCCCAGGAAGGCCCGGAGCAGACCCTTAGAAATCAGTCCAAGAGTAGGGAGAAAAAACACTCAGCTTGCTAGGCGATGGAGCCGAGCCCTTCCTCGGACCCTGCCCGGGGGCCGAGGGACCATGTTCGTTAAGTCAGTGCTGTGGAAGCACTGGGGACCCCTCCCACTGTCCTCTGCTGCTGCTGGGCAAAGAACCCACCTTCCAAGCACCCAGAAAACCACCCTGACTCCAAGTTCTTCCTGATGAGCGTTACATTTCAAAACAGTGGGGAGGGTCTTTTCTGCCAAAGCTACAAACCTAAAACGCTGATGCACACGAGGGCAGCCACCGCCAGGGCCACGGGACGCTTGTCCTCCACTCACACACCATCCGTCACTGGTTCCTGCTGAAACCGGTCGGCTTTCCCTGTGGAGAAACAGCTGTTCTCAGCTGGGCCCCCCAACTCCCCGCAGAACCAGGGAGATCTGCCACCAAAGAGGCATCTTTGAACACAAAGGAGTGAGGTCTCGATGGGTCCCCTGGGCCCAAAGGGACCCAGAGAGTAGGGCCGGCGAAGGCTGACCAGAAGGTGCCGTGTGATAAGATGCCCCTGCCTCCCCCAGGGAGCTTCACGGGCTCATGTCTGTGGAGCACGAGGGCCCTTCAGGGCAATGGGACAAAGCCCAGTGCAAGGATATCCCATCAGGCCTGAGACGGATGGAAGGAGGGCCATGCCACGGAAGCTCTCTGCTTGCTGCCGCTATTGTCCATCTGCTGCTCCAAGGGTGAGCGGCAGAAGCTTGTCTCATAAACTAGCACTGATGGAGCATCAGCCGTGGCCCACGGACAGCCTCACTGGGAAGTGGACAAGTGAAGCAGAGATGTTAGCATTTGATGGCATTTGAGGGCCCATGGATTCCCTGCCAACGGGAAGCAGAGAGAACGTGGGTAATGAAACCCAGTGGTCCCCAACCCCAGCAGGTACTGGCTGCCTTCCTTATCTGGCCCTCCCCAGGCGGGGTGGTTGCTTAGACCAAAGATGCTGACCCAGAGCAGAGGCCAGTGTACTTCCTCCCTTTCCCCAGCTACCTCCTGCTGAAGACGCCCATCCGGAGGGAAGCAATTCCAAGGTGGGGGCAAGAGGGGACAGCACCACCGAGGGCCTGTCATCTACCAGCTGGACGGAAGGTGGGTGGGATGTGTGCTGAGCCCTGATCTTGTGTCTGCTGCTGCTCTTCCCTCCCTCTCCAGGCAGCTGAAGACAGCGTCCCGCTGAGGACGCATCACTCCCTACAGCTTGGTAAATTCTATGTGCCTCTGGGTACGAAAGTGCCTCAACTAACATACTCTGGAAATCCTAAATGCCACGGTCTGAAGTTGATGTCTAAAATCTACGCCATTGAAAGAATCTGTATTTTTTTTTTTTTTTTACCTATAGACCTTGTCTGAGAAGCCGCAAAAATAAATACCTAACCTTCCATGAATTTCGGGCTTTTATTTCTGCCATGGGGGTCACGTGCCCACCTGTTCGCTGACAGCCTTCTGACTAGAGCCAAGTCAGGCGACGTGCAAGGTGTTGGGGCTGCCATGGTGGACACAGAACGATCTGTGCTGAGCTGGCCACTGAGGAGGGGCAGACGTGAGGACCTACAGCCGCAGGCCAGGGAGGAAGTGGGGGGGGATCCTGGTGACAGGGTGCGGGATGGGGGTGTGGGGCCATGCGAGCAGTACTCCAGGCCAGCTGAGTTTAGGGAAGGCTCCAGGAGTGGGCTGAGGCGGAGGTCGAGAGGGTCGGTAAGAGCGGCACTGCTTCTGCAATTAGATGTGCCTCTGAGTCTTGTAGGAGTGTGGTCCAAATGCAGATTCTGATTCATGGGTCTGGGGTGAAATCCGACGTTGTGTATTTCTAGTAAGCTTCTGGGTGACACAGAAGGTGTTGATCCTCGGACACTCTGAGCAACAAGACCTTAGATGGCTTTCCTTGCCTCTGCCATGCTGTAGTCTGTGGCATTCAAACCAGTGCACGCACATCTCTGCCCTGTTAATCGTCCCCATGAGCCTGCTTCCCCTGGCAGCCCTGGGAAGGTATGTGTCTGCTGCTACAACCCTTTGTCCCCTTAAGGGCAGAGGGGGGAAATGCTCCATCCCTAGAGCCACAGCTTTGGAAAACAAGAGGCGCTCTCCTCCGAGACCACCCACCCATCACCCAGCCAAGCCTCCCTACTGAGGCCACCAGACTGTCTCACTGTGTGGGGGGGACAAGAAATCCAGTGCAGAAAGCAGTCTAGTGGCTAAAAACCACTTCTTGGGAACAATAACCAGAAGATGGCCCTGCCATTGTGAGTCTATGACAAGTGTTTTTCAAAGGACAAGCCATGACCAGGAAATAACTTCACTACAAAAAATTTTCAAGGTGAAAAATATCGTGTACTTGCAGGTTCCCTTGCCTACTCTGTGTCTTCCCATGCTTGATGTTGGAAGAGTTAACTTCACAAAGAAGTAATAAAATGGATGAAAAATACCCACTACTAAGGCAGCTCACATAAGAACTAAGGAACAATGAAAATAACTCATATCGGTTAAGGAGACAAAGTTATCATTCAGCTGTTTGACAAGGTGAATCCTTCCCAAAAGCGATGAAGTTGGCCCTGGAAGTGCAGACGCTCTCTGGCACTGGGTCACCTCCCTGCTCCCAGCAAAGTGAGAGTTGGCACCACGGAAGCAGAAATTCTCAATCCCATCAGACCATCACCAATTTTTTCTAACACATATTTTGAAAATCTCTTTTAACTAACCTGAAATGGAATTTGGAAATAATATAACCTGCCTGTGCATATAATTTTTAAATCAATTTAAGTTCTTAATCGAAACATAAAGTAGAAATAAAGATAAAGTAATTTATATTATACTAAAATATATATAAAGTAATGATGAATAATAACTAATATTAAATAATAGTCTTATAAATAAGTTGGTTTTAAGAGAAATACAATGATACTCAACTAAACATTGGTGACTTTCTTGCTTTATAACTGACATTTTAAGACAAGGGCTAAAGTGTCGTGTGTGTGTGTGTGTGTGTGTGTGTGTGTGTGCGCGCGCGCGCTCACTGTGAGTGTCTGAAACTGTGTTGAATGCTATGAAGTCAAGTAGGGCAAAGACCCACAGCTTTTGACTAGATTTGGAAACGTGGAAACTTAATGGTGAGAATTTCAGTGGGGAGTTGGGGGTAAAATCTAGATCAGGTAAGAGGGAAATGGAGACAGTAATTCTGAAGAACTCTTTTGAGACCTGGCTGTAAAGAAGGAGAGAGAAAGGACTGGGGCCTGGTGGGGGTTGAGGGTGGTGCTGAAGGAGGGCTGGTTATTTTTCCCATGGTTCTGACCTGAACATGCTTTAAATGTTTCTGGAAAAAAAATATGAACAGAAATGGTTGAAGGCACAAGATAGAGAGCGAAAGAGAACCCAGAGCACGGGCGGCTGCAGAGCAGAGGAGCAGCTCGTCCTCTACCACTAGGAGGGAGGGCAGAAGAGGGAGGGTGGGCCACTGAGGGGAGGGTTTAGCTCTGCTGATGTGACTTGGGATAGTTCCCTTCTGATGGTATCTGTGTCCTTCATGAAAAAGCAGTCAATGCCATCTGCTGAGTGACAGGGAAGGAAGAGGGTTTGGCTCTGAGGTTTGAAGAGGGATGAAAGGTTAAAAATAATTGTGGGAGAAAGTTAAAAGGGAGCTGACCAGAGAAACACAATAGGATTAAAAAAAAAGGACCTGATTATAACAGTTTTTGTCCAAGGCAAAATATTCCTAATTGTGTTTCCTGGGAAGTGTGCAAAGTTGATCTTGTTTAATTAAATTCTATTTCCCCCCACCAATTTCTATAATAACTCCAGATAAGTTTGTCTTAGTTCAGTTTGATCTCTAGTAGTTATCCATAAATGCTTTGGCTTCATTTCTGTTTTCTCTGTTCAGAAATGAACAATCCCATGTGGAACCTTTGATGCACTAGGCAACCAGAAAACCTCCACTGCCAATTTTCCCATAAAGTGAATAATCAACACCCTTGTTTATTGAGTGTTGATTCCATTTATTGGACCAGAAACCTAGCTTATTTCTATAATTCCCATCATAAAACAGCCTACTCTTAAAAATCTAATTTTAGCCAACAGTTAAAATTTTTCCCCAACTAGAGAATTCATTAGGGCTTTCTCTTCCTGAAGGGCCTTCCCGCTACAAAACAACTAGTTCCTACACAAAAGACATACTTTTTAAGGCACTGCTGAACTTGAGGGAGGTAAGGGAAATCACCAGGGCAGAAAATAAATGGGAACACACACTAATAAACAAACAAAACAAAGTTCTCCTTGGCTCCTGGCAGAAGGAAATTCAAGTCCTTTCTGGAGAAAAGCAACCTCAGTTCAGAACAACCAAATAAGGAGCCCAATATCTAAGATCAACAAACCATAGGTGAGAATCAACAGAAACACAACCCCCAGGGACTTCAA